GTTTCCCTATCAAAATATGCAGGGACTCAAAGTCTTAACAGGGATAGGCCTCTACTGGAAAGCCCCCCAAGCCATGGCTATTTGGTTAACCGCGAACAAAGAATGCATAGTTTCACAGCTCATTTAGTCACATTCTTCCCTATTAAACACAGTAAGATTTGTTGTATTTCTTTGTTGTTATTGCGTGCTCTCAAGTAATTTCTTCTGGTCACTTCTGGAGTGAGAGACTCAGCCGTCTACGAAGACGTTGTCCAGGGGATGCCTGGATGTCTTTCAGTCCTGTGAGGAGGCTTCTCTAGGCACTCAAAGTGGCCAGCTACTGGTCAAAGGACATTTAATCAACTACCAAGCTTGCAAACTTTGTGTTTTGTTTGTTTGTTTGTTTGTTTAAAAATGCAATACAACTGTTTTATAGAAACTGTGTGTTCCGATATGTTGGTGTGTTGGCTGCAGTGTGTCATGTAAATGCAGTCTATTTGGAATAAGCAGAAAATCATATTTTTAAAAACATGAGATATGTTTACAGATTGGGCTGTAAATACATTTCATTATTACTATTTATGTATGTGTTGATATCTCTTAGAAGGGGTTGGTTTAACCTCCAATTTGCTAGTAAAATGGAATTACTGTGTCGTGAAATGATTCATGTCTAAATATGAAATGTTTGGAAAGCTTTGCTCCAAGGTGAACCTATTGTTTCACAGGGTTTTCTTGGCAATATTTGTTCAGGTCACCCAGTGGCTTTCCTTGGCTGAGCAGTCCTAATTCAGCTTTCAAACCACTACATCTCTTATTTCTATTTCTATTTAATTATAATTACATCGGAATTTGAAGATATATATCTTCTGCAAATCTATTCTCTTTTGTATCTCCACTCCACTCTGTGTGTGTGTGTGGAGGGGTGGGGGTGGCTCTGCCTGAGCCTTATTTGCCTGGTTGTCCTTTGGAAGTATCATCTCAGTTTAGTTATCAGTTGTGTTGACTCTGTTTCTTCGTTTAGCTGCTCCAGCCCAGAAGTAGAGGTCGGCATGTAGAATTCAGCATACCATTTTCCCTTTGCTGTCTTGCAATGCAGTGCAAACCACATTTGAATATTCCTCACTCAAGAAAACCATATGAAATTCATAGGATCATCAAAAGTCAACAATTGATTTGAAGGCTGGTGTGCATGAAAACATATGGAAAGATCTTTCAACTGGAACAGTGAATGTTTTGAATCTAAGGAAAACAAATAACTGAAATATCCTTCTTTGGATATCGATTTCTACTGATGACAAATCCAGAGCCTTGTTTAAAAGTAGAGGAGTTGAGTTAGAGCAACACTGAGGGATTATGCCAGTTAATGGGCAGCCAGCTTGAAGAATTTGTTACAGACTGTCAGCCTCTGTCTCCTCTATAAACCAGAACGGAGTTAAAGAAAGATCAATACTGCAGTGTTACCGGAAGGCAGCATAAAGAATGGTAGTTGTCTTCTCTCCCTGTTGCTTTTTTCTTTCTCTATTTTGCTGTCTCCCTCTTTCCATTCTACCATCTATTAGCTACTCCAGCATTATATAGAGCATGAGAATATCTTCTCTAATAGAGGCTTAGGCTGCTGTACGAACTTTCTTTATCTCCTTTAAGGCTTTTACCATGAGAAGTCATTTAGTTGGAATCAATAATTCACACACTCACGCACACACACATTCAAGATTCAAAATGAAGAATGAGTTCAAAGGTGTTCCTACTCCTGAAGAGCTGAAACTTGAATTAGCCATTGTATTGGCCCGAACAGGGCTCTTTGAGGTGGACTCATTCTTTAAAGCAAGTGTGTCCACCCCTCCCCATTCCACCACATAGAAATAAGCTTTTTGGGAGAAGAAATACTGATGTCATTCTTCTAGCTTGGAATTCTCAATCTGTCAATGGCCAAAGTAGATATTGCTGTCAATTGGTAGTTAGCCTCTTTCCTCTGCTCTTACTTAAGAGTAGATGCAGTTAGGCCAATCTGCATCTGGAACAGAATTGGAGAGCTAGGAGGCTCTGCTACACTAGGACCCTATCCAGGTCAGAGATAACTCACTACTGCAATTCATATTGAATTGAGGGGGCTGAGAAAGTGTGCCTTGACCAGAATGAATAGGGATTTGAAACCTGGTCTTCAGAGTCCTAGTCCTGCACCTAGTACACCATATTGGCTCTTCCTAAAATAACAATGACAACAAAAAACCTGGAATATAAATGTAAATGTAACATGCAACGTCAACATGATACTCTTATATGTATAGCATAAACAAGTGAAAAGGGAGAAGTGTTCAAGCTTTATTTTCTCAATTCTTATTTTCATTACCCTCTTGGCATGGAAAGGGATTTTTCAAGAGGAAAGACGCCTCTGCCCTTAGAAGCTTTCCATACATTTCCATACACTAATTTTCCACATTCAGAATCAAATAAAGAGCTAAATTCTCAGTTTAGAAAGTCACCTGCCACAATTAAAAGTTGGAGGTAAAGTATGAAGGAACAGGGCAGTTTCTTCTCTCCTTACATATATTATGTATTATATGTTCCATCTTTATGTTATAGGTCAGTGGTGGTGAACCTATGGCACGCAGTGCCCTCTCTCCTAGCACACACTGTATCTATTTGATGTAGTGGTGGGTTTTATAACAATTGTTATGATTTTTTTCGGAGTTGTGATTATGAATATTTACTGATGGTTTTACCATTTTAAAATATATTAGATGTTATTCTCAAAAACCTTATTGTTGTTTGAGCAAGGCATGGGACATATTTATTATAGTATACTTAATAGTTTATATTATACTTTATAAGTTGTTGAAAACCGCGTTGAGTCACCGGCTAGGCTGAGAAACGGCGGTATACAAGTATAGCAAATAAATAAATATACTTTATACTTTATGGTCATTGTATGGTTTTGTTACATGTTTAAAGAGTAGTGCTTTACTTTTTTCATTACTTGAATTATCTAAAATATACTTAAAATACATTGGACAAATACTTTACCAAAGTAATGTTTTAAGGTAATTAATAAACATAATATTTTATCATAAATACACACAACAGCTTGCAATTTTAGCATATGTTATATTTTGGGAAATACTATAACTCCATCCCAATTAACAACCATTTTTGTAACATATTCACTAAATGTTCAGTGAAAATTTAGCACAGTTTACATGTGTTTGTAAATTGTGGGTGCCTGGCTTCCCCACTTCAGGCTTCTTCATGTTGAACTCAGAGTTTGTGTGCATACAACTTATGCATGCATGGGCTTTTCCCTTGTGATCAGAGGCCTTTGGACCTTTGACAATACAAGATTATAGCCTCATGATTTTATTGTAATGGCCTTAGCTGAATCCCATGGAATCCCAAGGTGTTCAGTGACTCTAGTGAGTCACAGAAGTACAAAACTTGATTCCTATAGGATGTTGTCATGGTTGTTAAAGGGAAATCATAGAGTTATTATTGTATACTGCAAAAAGGCCCTTTAATAAAAATATCCGGCCAATTACCAATTACAATATGTAACAAAACTTGAAAAAAATCTGTTCCTGGTTACCGTTCAATTGTGAGGTACTTACTTTGAAAGTAGTTGTTATGCTCCAGAAACTTCATTTTTGTGGCTGCCACAAACTATGCTGAATTAGTTGAGACTCAATGGAATATTCATTGAAAAACTATAGCAAAATGTTCTGTAGGATGTCTTGCAAAAACAAAGTTTTTTCAGTTTAATGAATTTTTTCCATGTTTTTATAATAGAATCAATTAGGAAATGACATTTATAACCCAGGAATAAAAATTGTGTTGCACAATGTTACAATAAATTGTAACATTAGCACCATTATGAGGTTAAAAAAAGAAAGAAAATAGAGATGGGATTTTGGTCATGTCTGCTAAGGGATCAAAAGAAGTTGAGGGCTCTGCATCATCCTAATCTTTTAATACTAGACTGTGAGGACTCGGGTAGATCAGTAGCTAGACGAATTGGGAGTAGTGGGGCAAGTCAGTAGCCAGAGCAGAAATATTAGGCAATCCCAGTGGACAAATGAAGAAGCAGGGTCAAGAAGCAATTGAGAAGTGAGAACCAGCCAAGGACATAAAAGTATGTTAGTGCTCAGGAACAAATTTGAACAAAGCTCTCCAAGATCAGGAAGCTCAGCCCAGGTGGAATGGCACCAAGAACCCAAGGAACTGCCATCTGCAGGTCGGTGTTTCACCATGCAGGGCAGCTGCAAACAGATCTTGGCACACACCAAGCTCTTGGCACATGCCAATACAGCAGGAGTAGGGAAAACCCACAGCAGTTTCTCTGTGCTGTATTAGAACTTGCAACGTTGACAGCTGAAAACTTGCTTTGAAAGACAGATGCCAAGTGGTACCATTCCTCCCTCCCCTCTGCCCAAAAGTTTCCTTTTTGAAGAACTATTGCTGTTAAAAAATGTAGCTGCCACCCACAGAAGATGTGTATTAAAGCAGGTCATCCCAATCTTTCATCACTTTTCTGGGTGATGGTTGTAATGAATTTTTTATTTTGTGTAGGGCTTGCTCTAAATCTGGCACGGCATTGTGTGGGAGCATGCATGCCTTTTTTAAAAAAAAATCTACTACAGCTAATTGAAATTCAAATGTAATGAATGTTGTTGGATTTAGGGTTTTTGGAAAGGACGGGCTATTCAGCACCGTTCTCTTTGTTGTAGTCCTTGTATGCTTGGCACACTGCAAAAAGACAAGCTTTGCTTCTGCTTTTAAATGTAAACATGAATGAATTTCAAAAAAGAAAAACATCAGACCATATTGGGTTTACTTTCTTTTGTGGGGGTGGAGATTCTTTCCACTGGTGGGAATGTAGGATTGGGAAGAATATTTGTTCATTCTAGGTGAGAGTGAAATTGAAAGCAGTGAATGAGGAGGAAAAGACTAAATCTTTGATGAGTTGAAATCTGTTCCTTCTTTTAAAAAAAACAACCACAACAATATGCAAATGTGTTTCTATTGCCTAGGTAACTATTATGGAACACCCAAACCTCCCAGCCAACCCCTGAGTGGGAATGTGAATAACACTGATGCTTTGCAAAACCTCCAGTCCGGCTCCAAGCAGTCAACCCCTAAACGAACCAAGTCTTACAATGATATGCAAAATGCGGGCATAGTGCATACAGAGAATGAAGAGGAGGATGACGTCCCTGAAATGAACAGTAGCTTTACAGGTACATGTTTTCTTGTCTATGTACATAAAGTGTACATAGGGAAGGAGTGGGGAATTGAAATGTATATGTTGGTGATTCTTCTCAAGAAGATTTTTACATTCAAATGTTCAGTATCTGCCTAAACCATGGGATAATCTGGATTCTAGAGGTTTGTACTGGCTTCTAAAAATAAAACATTCAAAAGTTTTTCTTTCTTTCTCTCCCCTGGAAGCCTTTTCAGAATAACATGATTGAGATATTTTGGAGATTTTTTTCAAGAATAGAATCCATGCTTTTCAATTGTTGCATTTTGAACCTCAACTTTTCGCAGACCACATGGAATGAGTCTAAGGAAGTCTGTCTTTGCCCTTTTATCTTTTGACTTTTTAGCTCTCATTAAAGCTTGTGATATGGTGAAAGTCACAAGTAGCATCCTAGTAAGTAGATGGGTTTCTCATCTACACAAGTATGTTACCTTATCAGTTGGAGAATGTTGTTGGAGGATTCTTAGTAGACACTAAAGCCACCAAGGTGAATAGGACTATCCTCATGGTCTGGCACTCTTCCTGTTCTCTTTGAGCCTCCTATCATCTCCCCTCAGCCATCTAGAGAGAAATATGATTCCCCTTCTGTTGAGGGGGTGCAGGAAGGAGGAGTAACCACCCCTTAAAGCAGTGGTTCTTGGCCTTCAACTCCCAGAAATCCTAACAGCTGGTACACTGGCTGGGATTTCTGGGAGTTGTAGGCCAAAAACATCTGGGGACCCCAGGTTGAGAACCACTGCCTTAAAGATTCGTGAGTGAACCTTGTTACGTTATTTGAGGGTCATTTGATAATATCTTTGTTGATTACAGCTCAGGTGACAATCGAGAGTTGGGATCTTAAAGTTAAGACAAGCAAATAATTTTAAGGGTTCAAATATTTCAATGATAGTTTGACCCCATGGTTGGAATAATTCTAGACACATTTATGCAAAGACAGGTTTCATAGATAGCAGTTTATTTCTGGAACAAAATTGAACTGGAAATATAAATTCAATTGTCCAATGTGGTTTTAAATAGAACTTAAGACTGAGGTCCTGAATGGTCATTACAGCTGTGATGATGGAGCTCTGTTTACATAGTTATAATTAATTGTGCCCCTTCAAAACTGCCTTTCACAGCATGGCAGTATCCAGATGAAAATATTTCCTTGGTGCTGAGGATTGAAGTGCCAGGAAATGACATCCTAATACCTCTCTGATCCTGGGGTGCCTTGAAAACAAACAAGAGGAGAGACCCCTTGAGGTCCTGCCCCAACTGCTTGTCCAAAGGCTGAAGTGAGACGTGGATATCATTTTCCAGCATTCCAATCTTCAGTGACTTGGAAAAGCATCAGTTTGCACTGCAAGGATGTGAAAAGTAGGGCTTGAGGTCCTGTTTGGCTAATCTTGACAGTAAATGTGAATCTTTGGCACTTAGAATCACTCCAGTTTACAGTTTCTTAACTGCTGAACCAGATGCTGATCTGTACTGGGGTGGAATTGTGTTACATAATATGCTGCAACTTATGTAGAGATAATGAAAAGAGAATATGAACTGGAACCAGATGCAAGCCCAGCTATGTGGGATTATTGAGATTTGAGCACCCTTGCCACCAACATGTGATCATTTTGGTATGGTAGGTTCACATCCTTTGCCCAAAACAAGGTAAAACAAGGTTTCCATGTATGGAAAATTCACTGATGTGACATCATTTTGTTTTCTCTTTTTCACCCTTGCTAGACACCATAGATTGTTCATCATATAGGCTGTATATGGCCCTCCAGGGACTTTTTACTTCCCAGGGCTTTCATCATATTTCCCCATCTCAATTTTTAAAGAATACTTTCTTCCTCGGAATAGTCAATTGCTATTTCTAGAGGATGTGAAGAACTGCATACAGCTTGATTATCCCTTATTCAAAATGCTTTGGACCATTAGTGTTTTGGATTTATTTATTTTTTATCTTAGAATATATATGTATTTGCATATTTGTACATACCAAGATATCTTGAAGGTAGTCTTGAAGGTAATTTTATGTAAAATTTACAATAATTTTATTCATGAAACAAAGTTTGTGAGTTTTGGACTATTTTGGTGTTTGGAATTCTGTATAAGGGGGCTCAACCTGTATTAACTTTAATACCCATTCCAACCCACCAGTGATCCTAGAACTTACAATTGTAAGTGCAGATGGTACAAAAACTGTACAGTGTTGCCCACAGTGGGTTTGAAAATTAGCACTGGCAAACACTGTGGTTTTTCACTCCTGCAGTAAACAATACATGTTATTTTGTCTTTGCGACCCACTTGAGAATGGAATAGGTTAATGAAATCCTTACTCAGCTAGTGAATTTCATTCCCTGAGATCAGTATGACTGTTGCTTCATATTCTAAGGAAATAAAGTGCAAAAGGCATGTTGATTTTAGCCAGGGGCGGTGGTGGTCAAGACCTAGCAAATGAGATGCATTTTTTATTTGGCAAATGGGATACATTTGAGTAATAGTCTGCTGTATTCAATAAAAGTTTATTTGTTCCACTGTAGATTTTAGCTACATTTCATTTCACTCTATTATGTGTAACAGTTGGGTTTGTTAATGTCATGTATATCCTAGCTACCTGAAAAGCAAAATGAATACTCAAAAGACTACTTCATCTTCCTAACTCTAGCAAAAATTTTTTTTAAAGAAATAATATCACATTATGTTCAGTGATGATGGTTTTTTTGAAAAATGTTTTGTGCCTGTTTATGATAGCAATAACTTCTCTTAATCAAGCTATATGTTCTGATTTTACTTGCCCAAACTCTTGCTTCCAAGAGCTGACTTGGATTCTCACTGATCTATATGGCCACTGCTGCTGGTATGTGGTTCTACTACTGGCATCTCTTATACAATTAATTTTCTCCTATGTGAATTAAAGTTATGTATACCACTTATTTTTATTGGGACTTTGTTTAATTGTCATAGGCTAATTTTGAATATCAGATTGACTAGTCATTTTAGAGATAGAAAATAACTTGTCATTTGCAAGTTCTGTAAACCATAACAGTCAAGAAGTGTTATAATATTTTACTAAATATACAAGTATGTATAAGTTGGTCCTCAGAATGTTATGGTTTATGATGTTGTTGTTTATTTGTTCAGGTCACGAAGAGTCAGAAATGACTGAATGAATAAACAACAACATAAACCATAACATTCTGAGGACCAATTGACACATACTTGTACATTTTGTAAAATATTATAACACTTCATGATTGTCTACTTGTGCAGACTGAGCAAGTCTAACCTCATATTCCTAACATAGGGACATCTGTCACCTGCATTCAGAAATGACATCATCCCACAATAGTTATGGATCTCAATTGCAATGTGTTTGGTATTGATTGAAAAATGCCTACGATGTGAGCCATATCTCATTTGCTGAAGTTGATGGAGACTTAGGTCTTGTGTGAGTCCCTAATCAGATTATTATACAAATCTTGGTTCAGACAACAAGATGTATTCAAAAGCAGCTTTTGGGTGTTTAAAAATGAGATTAGACTATCCAACAACTAAATACAGAGCTTACCTGGCTCAATTGAGTATAGCAATGAAAGAACATGTACTGTTGGAAACATACAATGCAACACATTTCATAGGTTGAGCATCTCAACAGATAGTTAGAAATATGCATGCTCACAAAGTGTAATTCTGGTCACACTGGGCATTGGTAACCATTAAAACTGTGTTGCCTTATATTTTCCCCAGCACATGTTAGTCAGTACATTATACTTTGTGTCAGCATGCACCCTTTTAACTATCTCTTAAAATGCACATCAGTGTGATTTCGAGCCTATGAAATATCTCTCTCCTTTGATCCTGGGCTAAGGTTTGTCTGGGCACTGAAACCTTCCGTTTCAAATAGAACAATGATCACTTTATGAAGGATTGAAGGATCTTTGTCACTAACTGATAATACTATAAAACAGCTTTGTGAATGGATGTGGTTTTATGAGATATGTTGAGTTATAATATAACTAAACAACTGAGATAAAGGACATTATCCCACAGGCAGGAGGGAAGGGGGTAAAACATCTTAAAGAATGTGGACCCATTTTACCCTGGTAAGGTCCAGCTTCAGGGATGACTAGCCATCCCACAATGTTTCCCACCTTCTTCCCACTTTCCTCTATTTCCCGCCATTTTCTTCAGTCAGGAGACAGAGAATACCTGACTCCTGAAAATAGAGTCTCCTTACCATCATTGCATAGTGGCAAGACATATTCTCATGGGCAGCCACCAGAAATAGCTGTGTGTCATGGGATGACCTCCATGGGACTCCGTTTTGCCAGCATATGAAGACAGTAAGAAAACAGAGGAAAGTTAAGGTGGTATAATATCAAAAGTCAATAAGAAACAGTGGCTAATACTATCTCTGTATTTTGTATGCACATGTGTGTATGTCTGTGTCCTTTTGCAGCCGACTCCGGTGAACAAGACGAGCACAACACACACAGTACAAGAGACGCAGAGCCCTCATCTGTGAATAGCAGCATCACTACCATTCCCACCACGGAACCTTCTCAGAAGCTCCCTCAATACCTACCTCCTTGTGCAGAGGAAAACTTGGGTCCTCTGCCTGAAAACTGGGAGATGGCCTATACAGAGAATGGAGAAGTCTACTTTATAGAGTAATCATTTAATACTATTTTCTGCAGGGCAGGGGTGAGCCTTATCTTGAAGTACCAAAAGTTTACCACTGGACATTCTCTGAAATGTGTGGGGGGAAAAACTGGAGATGAGCTGAAATGTTCAGACTTTTTTAGGCCCAAATTACTTTTAGTTGATTATATTTCTTAATCCTGCTTTTTTGTACAAAATATTATTTTCTGATGAGGTTAAGATCTGTCTGCCTGAGCACATTCAAAGTTAAGCAACAAGGTCCTTAGATTTACAAGCAGAAGTACAAGGCAGTGAAGGCACAATCGTGAATGTTGGAGAGGAATGACAGCGGGTAATTCTTGAACAAATGGTAAACAGAAAACAAGTATTTTGTGTGAGAAATGTCTGTAAGAAAACATCTCTTTGCAGAATTCAGATGGTTTTCTTTACATAATAACCTTGCTGCCTAAATGAAAGCCACATTAATTCTTTTATAGGGCAGACATTTCCAATTCAGAGATAAAAAGTGTTATGTTAATGTTACAGTAGTTATCATTTCCCTCTCTAGAAGACAAATTATAGTGTGGCTAGCTGGGAAGTTGGCTTCTTGTTGACGTGGCACAGAAGCTTCTGAGGTTCTGCCACCACTGGTCTTATAACATATTGTTTCCCAAACAGCAGACAAAAATAGCCCCCCCCCCCCAACCCGGTATTTAATGTTTTGCACCTTGGCAGACCTTCTTCACTGCATTATTTCAAATTTGACTTGCCTGTTGGACTTCTTTGCATTCCTTTACTAGCTGAAGATTAATTGCCCTGAAGAACACAACAGAATTAAATGGGTTGATGTATCCTGTGTTGCTGAGGGTGGGTAAAGTAGTGTGTGAAACAATGACTTTCCACTCCACGTTTCACATCACCCATAATGAATAGAAGGGTTATGAAGTGCCTTCTTTGTTACTTATTTGATAATTCATCAAAAGGACATATACAGTTTTCTCTCCCCTTAAAATTTCCAAGAGGGAATCTTGGGGAAGGAGCGGTGCTGTGCTGTTCAAACTTTACTGCGTAATAAATAGTACTCTGTAGTTTTCTGTTTATCAAGAGTATTTAGCTGCTGGAAGGAATAGTGTTGAATAAATGGTCAAAGCCAGCAAGAATAGGAAACTTTTGGAGGAATTACACAGACTACCATATGAATCATTCTAGGGAAAGGAATAATTACTCATAATCGTATCTGGCTCCGTGTTCAATTCTCTTGATTCACGGTGCTGAAGGCCTTGGTTGTGCCACTTTTAGAGAACTTCCTTAGGAGAGATTTCATGTAATGGTTGGGCAGCAAATTAAATAATTTAATACCATAGTGATAATTATATTGCTGAGACCATCCTCTACAGATACTGTTTGCTTCCTCTGCTTCTCAAAAATAAATACAATAATATCTTGTTGGCTAATTTTTAAAACCGATTTTCTGTAAGCCAGTTCTCTTTGAAACAACACACATTATCCTCTTGTTTATCTTGGTGACAGCTCTACACTCACAACAGAGCAGGAGCTAGTATTTGAACCATGTTGTATTTCTCCCTTGCCATTTAATGAAGTTACATCTTTGGAGCTTTAAGTAACCAAGAAGTGACACATTCTACAACAAAGGGAGGGCATTATTTCTCACTATTCCTTTGTTATGGGGGGGGGGGGGGAGATAGAGTTACAAGTAATCTGTAGTTTGTCACTGATTACTACCAGATTGTATCTGACCCGCAATCTTTCATCCCTCCAATGCATAAAACAGAAGTTAGAGACTCATTTTAAAAACAAAACAATAAATTGCATACACACCTGAATTGAGAGACTCAGCCATTCACCCTGAATGCATGCTAGCCAGAACTCTTGGGCATAGTCTTTGGCTGGGATGTTTTGCCAGATTCTCATATCACACATGGGTCATCATCCTCAGCTCATAGTAGTTTTCTTTAGAATAAATGAAGATAATTCATGATCCATTCTTCATATAATCAGAACAACAGACTAGAAATGTTCTGGGCTTTCCTGGTCCAGCCCAACGTTTAACTCGTCTTATGATCCATCAGCAGCTTGTTTTTCTCCAGCAGTTGCTGTTACTTGTTATGGATGACAGTTTTACAGCTCAAAGAAGGTTGGGGATTGGTTTCTATACAATCTTAGCTGTGCTACGCTTGCCTGAATTACCCAAACCCCAGGAGTTAGCAATACCTCAATATCATTTATTTTCCCACCTCTTGTGATTCCTCAGTTGTTATGCTCAAACCATTGTGAGAAAAAGTGCTGATGTTTCTTTACCCTCATAGGATCTGTAAAACACATTGAGTGGTTGCCTAGAAACAGATTGAATGTGTTTCCTCCAAAATACAACCTAAATAAGCTTTAAAATATTAGCCTGGGGATTGAGAAGAGACGTGATAGTGTACCTCAGCTATCTGAGGGATAGCACTGCAGAATCCATGCAGGAGGTTTGGTCTCTGCTGCCCCAGAGGACAGGAATACAACTGATATGTGGAACATGATGCATAGCCAATTTCCTTTGGCAAATTAAATGTGAAATAAATCCCTTACCCTTGTTATTTTTAAAAAACAAAACAGATCAGGCCCCACTTGTTTATTAAGACCTGTGCATATTATTATATATTTATTGCAAAACTGGTATGAGCATTTAATTCTGTAATATTACCAATGTTCTATACTTACCTATTCAAATGCTGATGCATTTGCTTTGTCGCAGTATATATATATTGAGTTTGTGTTATAGGCTGTGTTCTAGATTAATAAGCCCTCAGTTCAGGTGAATAAAACCAGTGGACACATGTTATTTTTCTGCTGCTGATACTTCATCTTTTAAAAAGGTCACATTTCCATTTTTTGGTTTGCAGCCACAACACTAAAACAACGTCTTGGCTAGACCCACGGTGCCTGAACAAACAGCAAAAGCCTCTAGAAGAATGTGAAGATGATGGTAAGAGTACAGTGTTTTAAAGCTGGGACAATCTTTGACCTAACTGGAGAGTTATTCTTTTTAAAAGAGAACAGCAATGTTGGATTAGCTATCATCTATCCTCTTCCAAAACCAGTTGCTTTTAATGTGTGCTATTTTCGAAGACCTTGATCCAGATTTATCAAATGCAGGAAATGGGTTGTTGCCTAAAAAGGTGGCCTAAGAGCAAAAGGGACATCATCTAGACACTTCACTGGTCCCAGTTGTTTCATGATGCAGATGGTGATTCTGGTATTCATCTACATTAGCTACATCTGCAAGTCTGCCTAGCTGAATATGTGTATGTCTGTAATGTGTACTAGAAGGAGAGCTTTTTAATGAAATATTCTACAAAATACCTTCAGCTTGTAGAACTGTGTGCAGGATTGAGATATAGATTATGCTTTAAAAGTATTTTCAGAAGTAAGATCTTCTACAGTAATCTAGCTTTCTTTAACCCACTATATTTTGGAACCTAATGCTATATTAATGGTTATTGTTATACGTAAGATTCAATTCTCTGGTTTGCTGAACGGATTCTGTTGTTAGAATCACAATGACATTGTTAGTTCTCCCCTGATGAAATCACTAGAAAAGTAATGCCCAATTTAACTTCAATTTATTTCCTTGTTATGGAAGCCTACAATTAGGCTTTTCTAGGATCTTGTGCTTTTGTCATTTAATTCTGACGCTAACGTCATCACTGCTTTCCTAATTGACCGAAAAGAAAAGGCGTTCTGTTGCTTCCTTTCTGCAGTTGCCATATCAGGATTTATTGAAATAATAAGTGGCAGTGATTTGATTTCTGAATCCTTTGAGACACTGAAAAATGCAAGCCAGTGTCCAATTTAAGAGATCAAGCTCTCTCAATTTGGGATGGGGAAATTAGGTTTGCCACAGTATTTGTTTGAAAAACAACAGCCATGGACTAAATCAAGAAAGGAAGTAAACAGAATTCAGAAAAGACAATATATCATGGTCCTTTTCTTTACAAACAGTATATAATTAGGTACACATGTATTCTAAACCTAATGGATATGCTAGTGTATTTAAAATGCTAAAGTTACTTTTAAGCATGTAGTTAACTGCCAGGTCGGATGTGAGAGTGGCATATTCTTTTATGTCTCTTTTGTCAAATTGGAGCACTATTTCTCCAAACCTTTTTTTCATAGTTCAGCTCACTTCCGATATCGGAGCAGGTTTAGGGAAAGAGGGCTTCAGGCAACTGATGAAGAGAGATAAGAGGTGAAGGAATCAGCTCCCTTCCCCTGCAAGTCCTTTTTGATGTTAAAATTGGAAACAGTACAGCCCACTTTCTATATAAATGAGGCAGGCTCATGAATGAACAAAGTGGCAGCTACCTTCTTGCCTCCTTTGGCTTTAGTTAGCAAATCTAGGTATTTGCAGGAGTTATCCTGACTTTCTTTATGTTATTATTGAATCCTCTTGCCAAGAGGCAATGTGGCCCTCCAACTCAGTCATTAGCACCATAGCCAAAGCCAGAAGATCTAACTCAAGAAAAAAGAAATCCAATACCATTGTGTTCAGAATGGATATCAGGATGGTAACCTCTTTGTCAGATGTGCTTCAGAAACAATTACACATAAGTATCCATTTTGAAGTTGTTTCCAAACTGGTTCTTACAAATTATGTGTTGAAATTATAGATCTTTCAGTCTGGTGCCTTTTAGATGTGTAGGACTATGCCAGTGGTTCCAACCTTTGGTGTTCCAGGTGTTTAGGGTGTCAAATTCCAGAAGCCCCAGCCAGCTTGGCCAATTGTCAGGAATTCTGAAAATTGAAGTTCAAAACACCTGGATGAGCATAGGTTGAGAACCACTAGGTTATGTTACAGTCACTTCTATACAACTTCATTAAAGCAAGCTGATGAAGATTCCACTGAAATCTCATTTTGTATGATACCTAGAAATAATCTTGTCTCATGCTTTCTCCTGCAATCACCATACTTTGCCATTACAAATTATGTGACATGATAGGTAATTAACTTCATAGGCGTAAGTAATATAGCAGTAATCATAGGTTTGTAGAAGGTTGCAAGGCCCTTTTAGTGTAATTCCCTGCCAGTGCAGGAATGCCCCACTAAAGTACCCAAGAGGTAGATATAAATTTCAGCGCCCCACCCCCTTACATTGAATGATTATGTGTTTCTATGGAAACTTTTTTTATTTAGCTCATTTTCTTTGCTGAGCCTATTTCATAGCCAGTGAATATTTCTAACAGCAAGGGATATAAATTCCCACCTTAATTCATAGGAAACATATTTGGCTTTACACTGTTTGTAATTTTGATTAGCTTTATTTTTATATACCTTAAAACAAATGCTCATTTCAATGTGTGGTAATTTGACCTTACAGTGAAAAGACAAGTTAAGAATATGAAGAAATAGAAAGTGCCACTTTTTATTGAGTCTGATTAATGGGTTCACCACTGTGTACTCTAACTGGTAGTCATTGTCAGAGGATCCTTGAACTAGATCTTCTTGGAATTGAGCCTGGAATTTTATGTGCTTTTCGACAAAACTGTGGCCACTTAAACTCGCATGTATTCTATGAAATCCAATAAGATTTTCCACTTCCAGAAATCATAACAGAAAGCAATATGGATGTGGATTGATTACAATATGTAACAAAATTTGAAAAAAGTCTGTTCCTGATTTGAAAGTATTATTTCCTGTTTAATTGTGCAGTACTTACTTTGAAAGTAGTTGTTATACTCCACGAACTTCATTTTTTTGTGGCTGAGGGTAGTGCTATTCTTTTTTTTTTCAGTCTAGGCACCTCATTTGTAATTTTTCTTAATGAAAATAAGCCATTTTAACCTTCATGCAGACCACAGAAACAAAGTTTTTGCAGTTCAATAAACTTTTTCCATGTTTTTATGATAGAATCAATTAGGAAATTACATTTATAAACCAGGAACAAAAATTGTGTTACATCGTGTTATGGATGTTAATTGTTTTAGTGCTTGTCTTACTGCTGGTTTTAATAATTTATGTATGCAAAATGTGTTTTCCTCCAAAACTGTGACTCCTCCAACTTGTATGGTTCTCTAAAATTTCTATGCTAAAAATCCAATAAAGCTTTTCACTTCCAGAGCTCTTTCCAACAACACAGCAAAAAAGGAGGATATGGAGCTTGATTGATTATGGGTGTTAATTGTTTTAGTGTTTTTTTACTGTTATTTTACTGTATAATGGTTTAATTGGTTTTTAGTTATGTCATTTCAGTAGTTTTATTTTTAGGGGAAAGACAGTAAAAGGGGAAATAAAAGTCACGAAAATAAAAACAATACAACCCTCGTATTTGCAGGGTGTCTATTCCAAGATCCCCTTGGATATTTGAAAGAGTGGATAATAGCGCACCCTATATTTTGACTATGGTTGGGTTGTTGAACTCAACTGGAGGACCAAGAGAGGATTAGACACACTTCCTGGGGTTTTTTTTTTGAAGCATGGGTTTATGAAACCAGAACTATTGAATCCAAGGATAAGAGGGTCATGCTGTAAAAAAGAAGGGAGGAGAAGAGGGAAAAGGGAATATACCAGCAGCTTTAAGACAAGCTGGTTTTTATCTTAGCATAAACTTTTGTGGATATAAACCCATATCTTCAAATGCAGTACAGAGTGATATTAAAGCCTCGGGTATAAGGCTTGTTTATGCAGTTGTGGGGGTGGATGGAATGTAATAGGATCAGGTAAGAGGCAAATCATGTCCCTTGCCCTAAACTTTCAAAGGTTTAGGAAAGGAGATCTTTCAGAGTGTGGAACCAGGGAAACAGACTTTTGGTAACTTTGGTGACTTTTTAAAATGCTGGCCAATGTAAAAATCCAAAAAAACCTGTATGACCTTGCCAATCTCTTTGAAAATTTGGAGCAAAGGGCATGGTCACATACTCTCAACCTCAGAGTACGACAAATATAAGTCTCCTCTGAATGAATTCTGCCAAGATATACCATGATTAGAATTGCCATAAGTCAAAAGTGACTTGAGGCACACAACAAGCTCTTTAAGAAACGTCTTTAAAATTAATTTTGGACCCTTATGGCTTTGTCTGACAGCAACAGTTCCTTTGTGTCAAAATATGTTACATTTGCAAAAATTTTGAGAACATCTGGTTGACATGTGCTAAACTGAATCCATTCTCCTTTTATAATTTGCTTGCAAGTTTTTTTTCATCCCTCATTTGCTGGCTACAATTTTGTTTCTTGAAAAAACAGCATTCCCAGTCATTCATGCCATCGTTAGCAGATGGAAATGCTGAGTAAAATATAAATGGATGATGAAGTGATATTTTTGATTAGAATAAGCTTGTCTTCGCAAGTGGTTCTTCTTTTATAAGCAAATATTTTGGGCATGTGTTTCCTAGACTAGAGTTAAAGACTGTGCAGCAAATCAGCACATATGCTCACCCTTTGAAGAGCACCTGACTAGCTGACTTGAATTTATACAGTTGTTTTGCTGAGAAAACCTAGACGCGTGGGGGCAATTTCTAGCAACCATTGGCTCTCCGTAGTCTCAATGCATTCCAGTATGCTTTGTGCAGGAGTAATATTTGAAGAATTATTATTACTATTATTATTATTATTATCATCATCATCTCCACTTTTGCTCTCTGAAAAGAGACTCAAAGTGGCGTACAGTAAAACCAATACAATACAACTTAAAACCTTAAAAATATAAAAACATTAAAATAGAATAAAATATTAACCTTATTAAAAATAAACAGTTAAAATCCTTAAAATGGATTAAAATTCCATTATTGTTCAAGAGACATTAGCTCAACTGGATTTTTAATATTAGATATAGTCACGTTCAATATTATAATAATCAAATATATATCAGGACCTGGTTCACACAAGAGGTGAGATTAACACATTGAAGCCCTACCCTTCCAACATATCCTTTCCGAAAAGGATATGTGTCCATATTGCTTTCTACTTTTCACCAAACCCCATAAGGGAATGGGAAGCAGAGGTGCCTAAGCTTCACCAAGAACTCTTGATTAGGGTTAAGGTAAAGGTTTCCCCTTGACACTAAGTCTAGTCATGTCCAATTCTGGAGAGTGGCGCTCCTCTCCATTTCTAAGCCAAAGAGCCAGTGTTGTCCATAGACTACATGGAGCGCTGTTACCTTCCCACCAAAGCAGTACCTATTGATCTACTCACATTTGCATGTTTTCGAACTGCTGGGTTGGCAGAAGCTGGGGCTAAAAGCAGGCACTCACCCCGCTCCCCGAATATTCACTGCCAACCTTTTGGTTAACAAGTTCAGCAGCTCAGTGGTTTAACCCGCTGTGCCCCCGGGGGCTCCCTTGATTAGGGTAGATTCAGATAAATGAAGATATTTTCTATTATTTAAAGGAAACTCCAAACATTTTTTACTATCATTGTTGCCAAAGGCCACACTCTTTCAACTGAAAAAGGTGTCATGGTGTGAGTTTACGCTGCATCGATACAAAACTTGGTGTTGGTTCTGCTGTATACTAGCAGGAATTTCTTGCTTGGTGCTGGTGTCTGAATTTTTCTTTTAATTTTTTTCCTATCTCACTTACTGCTCTTCCTTTGGAGAAGAAGGGGTACACACGGAGGAACTGGACAGTGAACTAGGTAAACCATCCATCTCTCATTTTTTTGCTCTGTTGGGCTACACCATTAACTGCTTAACATCCTTTTTCCTTTATATCACATTCCTTTTTCTTTTCTCTCTTAATTTTAAGCAAGGTCTTGATAGCAAAATGTAACTGGGTTTACACATTGAACATAGCTTTATTTTCATTAGCATGACATTTTCAGGCAAACTCATTGTCCTGTAATCTTGTGGAGTATTCTGCCTCTTCCAACCTCCCCAAAATATGGCATTGTTTGAAAATTTTTACACATATTTAGAGGACAAAGGGATCTATAGGACAAAAACTGTTCTCGGTTGGCTGTGTTAAAAGTTGAAGTTCTTATATTCAATTATTATATGGAATTAGGCTCTTGACTTGACTTTTGTTTACTGCATCCAAGAGATAGGGTATCATACTTTTTTATAAAGGCTATTTGTGATGATGTGGCGTGTTGATGTTATTCTGTATTGGTACACAAATCTTACCTTCACTAGTGACACCCTGATGTCTATGTCCTCATGCAAAGAGCTGGGCGACCTTTGCTCCCTCCCCTCTTATTGGTACACGGTCATTCTCATTGTCCCTCACCATTTTCCTGGCTGCCAATAGCTGCTTGGGAATTGGAGTCAAATGTGTAACAACCACAGATCTCACAACCCTGTTCTAAAATGAGTTGTTAGCAGAAGTCAACATGTGCGAGGATCATAATGCAGAGATAAATATTTGTGGTATCTGAACATGTATACAAGAGGCCACATATTTCCACTTTCATACTGATAATTATTTGTGAACCTCAAAGAAGGATAAGACAAAAAATATGGAGTCTTAGAGTTGAAGGAGCCACACAGACAATCTAGCCCAGCCTACAGTCGTACAGGAATACACAACTGAAGCACTCTTATTGGATGGCCATCTAACCTCTGTTCAAAAACCTCCAAAGTTGGAGGTGACCTTTCATAACACAGTTGTCATGAGATATTTTGAAAGAATAAAAATAGGGATAGGAATAGGATTGAATGCAATAAAAGAGCACCTGTCTCTGATTAGGGACCCTGGGAGCATACAGATAATTGACTTCAGAATGACATGCTTTCCTAGCATTACCGAGTATGTCACATTTATTCAGATCCCATTCTTTTGAAACACAGCTATTAAAAGTGAAAAAAGGCAAAGATAAGTTATTTACTCCATAAGTGATACTATGATCTTCTGTGCCTCTTTATTGCACCAAGCTCTTGCATAGGGGGGCCTTAAAACAAGTGTCATATTTTTGGGAAAACCAGTGTGATATATGGCTTTGAGAGTTGACTGTGACTTGAGGGGACCATGTTTCAAATCCCTGCTCAGGCACAGAGAACCATTAGATGACTTTGGGCTCATCTTACTCTCTCAACCAAGGAAGCTGTGGCAAACACCCTCTGAATAAATCTTGCCAAGAAAACCCTAAATGGGGTCGCTGTCCATCAGAGTTGGTCTGGAGGAACCCCGCAAGAAGTAACAATGATTGGAAGTACTTCAGACAAATGAGTTTTTTCCCAGACCTCTGGAATTTATATGTATCTCAAATTAAAAAGAAAAATTGTGCTAGTTATTTCTGGGTTAAAAATTGCAACATAAATGTGTTTTCCAAGTCTTATCCTAGTTTTCAAAGCTCTTTTTATCACTGTGTCCTAGCTTACACAAAAGCTGTTATTCCCAGAAAGAAATCATGTTATGTCAAGCTGGAGAAAAGACCAACTCGCCATTTTTGCCAAGTATTTTTTCATCACCTCCTGCCACCCCCATCTACAAATAGCACTGGCTTGCATTCCCTGTCTTTGTATCACAATGAAACCAAATCCATTTCAGATGAATAACATGAAAATACGTGGGTGGAGGAAGTTGGAGAGGAACCTGCCTTTTATTTGCAAACAGGGAACATGTGGAAGACAACTCATTAAATAATTTTTCTTGGTTTTTAGCCAGTTCTGGATTACAAATATAAACGTTGAGTAATTCACCCATGTGTGTTTATAAAGGTTTCATCCCATTACATTCTGGAGCTATTTGTGTCCTTATGGCACTGTAGCTGCCGCCTGCAGATAACACACTGGAGAACTGCTTGATATTGATTCATGTACAATTCTGTGAATATATGAGCTGCAAAGCAGATATCAGTAATTTTGGATACAATCCTATACACATTTCACTGGCTTTAAATCTCTCAGTAGGGCTTGCCCCTGAGTAGACACGTGTAGGATTTTGCACTATTAACTAATCTCTGTTTCACATTGATTAAACCATAATTATTGCTATGTGCTTTTATGTCGCTTCCAACTAATGGTGACCACAAGGCAAATCTGTCATAGCAAGATTTGTTCTGAAGGGGTTTGATCCTGAGAGAGTTTGACTTGCCCAAAATCACTGAGTGAGTTTCCATGGCTGAGCGGAGGATTCAAACCTGGCCTCCAGAGTCATAGCCCAATGCTCAAACCACTACACCATGCTAGCTCTCAAACCATGGTTACTATTGTTCATATCCTAGAACACTTTTAACATTGGGAGTTTGCTTTACACTGGATTAAAATAAGAAGAATCAATGCATCTCTCTGCTGTTGAAAAAAACATACAAACTCATGAATTAAACAGTGCTTTCTTCAGATGTGTGTGTGTGTGGCGGGGGGAGGCTTTCTAAGCATCACTTAGTAGGTCAGGGTGGTCAGTATCCAAAAATTGGAGAACACATTAATATCTGCCCCACATACAGACACAGAACTGCAGAAATAAATGCAACAAATATCCCTGCACTGAGGATGTTGTGCCTTGTTTCAAATGTTGCTTATGCATGGTGGCTGTTGATTTTTTAAGAATTTTAAGAATCTGACTACCACAGTGAAGGGGTAGGGCTCTTATAGAGATTTTGGAAATATCCAGGGACGAGGGAGATGACAACTTGCATGTTTTCCATTGCAACAAATGTTTAGGTGGATGGGAGGGAATGCTATTGGACATATCTTTCAGATACTCACATGGAAGAGTAGGGTGATTGAATCAACAATTTGTCAAAACACCCTTCCTGTGAAAAGAAATTAGCTCCGGTTTGATCTTGCCTAATATGTTAATGCTCTGTGTGTGTGTGTGTGTGTGTGTAATTTTTGACATGGGAAGCCATAATCCCCCAACTGCAACATCAAGTAAGATGTTCAGATAAGTATATTTGAGCATTTTTTCCAGTTGATATGTTGAGTGTAATTATTTCTCATCAGCTTCATACACATTGGATAATATTTATATAGAATAATCAAAATAGATACAGAAACAGGGATGTGGAGGTTCCATTTGCTTTAGGCTAAGAAGATTGCAGTACATGTTAGTGTTTAAATCAAATTGAGAGGGGGTTTAATTAAAGATTTTGATATGACCCATGGGTAGCTAGAGGATGATTCTTCCCCTAGCCACCACTGCTTTTTTCTTACCCAGATATTCAAAAGGACTTTTTTCATGCTACTTAAAGCTTCATCATGCAAGGCTAAAATTGGTGGCATGTACCAATTTAGTCCTGGTAACTCATGGAGCCAGGTAGCACCCATCATACGACATTCCACTGGCTCTGTGGGTGAAGGAGGGTGGCACCAGCCCTGTGTTGGCTTCCCGTGTTGCCATTTACTTTCATGGGGGAAGCCGAGCACACCACACTTCCCCCCATGGGATCAGCTTCCCACACTCTGCAGCAAGACGAAATGAAGTGGCACATTTTCTGCAGCTGTGTGATGAGGTTGTTAGAACAGTCCAGAAGTGCTGCCATGAGATAAGGAATAGAGCACTTTGGTCCTTCTTTTAGGTTCTTCCAGTATGTACTAAGTACTCGCCTTTCACCATTCTACTCAGAGAAGGATATCGTTTGTGTGTGTGTGTGTGTGTGTGTATGTGTTAAGGTACATTACTTACACTGATCCATAGATAAGTCGATCCAGGTTTTTGGAGTCCATTCTTTTTCTACAAAAATTTCTAGACACATACACGTGTGTATATAGTAATCTTGTCAAATTGACTATGCCTCCAAATTGCATTTAACAGTCCGATGTCCTCAAAGGTAAAATGAGGATTTTGTGTGTGTTGAGGTTACGTATCGAAGCCTGTCATGAAAGACATGTGTAGATGTATTTGGATCATGTCTGATTGCCCTTATCAGTATCCTACAGTAATCCCAGTGTTAAGTTTTCTAGAGCTTTGAGAGCTATTTCCATTTACTAAGTGGAAGTTCTTCTGAGATACAATCACGTGTCAATGGTTGTAGACTTTTGACGCCTTCCTTTTTGATTGAGGGATCAGGAGAAAACAAAGCAGATGAGTTAAAAAAGGAAAACTGAAATGTACGCTCAAATGGTTTTCCTTTATTGACTAATTATGCTTATAGACGTATTTACGCCTCCAGTTAGCAAACCGGCAGGCAAGAAGCTCTTCGCTTTTCCAGAGCAATCTTCCATCTTTCATTGCTACACTTTTTCTCCCTGCAGTTGTTTTAAAACTGAAAATTACTTTACGGTATGATTAAGGGATAATGATTTTGTGACAGGTTTTGTAACATGATAAAATGACTGCCACGTGCACAGAGACCTACGCTGTCAGCTTCGAAGGATTGTGATTCATTGCAGTTGTGATAGCTTTCTAGGCATTTTAGGTCTCTGAAAGACACTTCCTATGAGTCAGACTACATCAGCAGGGTGCTGGGTGTTGGAGGGCCACAGCAGACTTGCCCTGCTTCTAATTATCATGATGTGGCTTGGCATCCAGATGCTGGACAATTCAGAGAGAGAATAATTCACATTAGATTGCGGGATGTGTTACCTATATTCTACAGTATCTAAATCATGTGTAGGATAATCATCAAAGAATGAACTGCTAAACATAGATACAAGCAGTTAATATGAACCTCTTTTGATTTATTTCTTATTTTCAGTCCAGTTATCAAGTTTTTTGTTATTTGGTACCAAATTTTTTTTTTGTTTTTGGTACACCAAGTTACAAGATACCCTTGTAAAATTAATGGAATTCAATTTTCCTCTAAGACGGTGGTTATCAACCTTTGGACCTCCAGGTTTTTGGACTTCAGCTCCCACAGTTCCTAACAGCTTGTAAGTTGGCGGGGATTTCTGGGAGTTGAAATCCAAAAACACCTAGAGGCCCAAAAGTTGGGAACCATTACTCTAAGATGAAAAACTTGCAAGATCCTAGGAGGGTTTTTTTTCCCATGCTAGAAGCGACTTGAGAAACTGCAAGTTGCTTCTGGTGTGAGAGAATCGGTCATCTGCAAGGATGATGTCTAGGGGATGATGCCCAGATGTTATGATGTTTTACCATCCTTCTGGGAGGCTTCTCTCATGCACCCGCATGGAGAGCTGGCGCTGATAGATGGAGCTCATCCTCACTCTCCCTGGTTTCGTACCTATGACCAGTCGGTCTTCAGTCCTGCCGTCACAAGGGTTTGACCCACTTCGCCACCAAGGGCTCCTTTCCTTGTGCCGGCAGGACTGAAGACCGACAGGTCATAGGTTCAAATCCGGGGAGAGCGTGGATTCTTACTTAAGGGAGTAGTTTGGAAATATTTCTCCAGTGTTAGACATCCTTGGGGGGGGGGGGGAGTAAAGAATTCCCATTAAGCATTAGTAACACCCTGTGGTGTAGTGGTTTGAGTATTGGATTAGAACTGGTAGGCTGAATTCAAATAACTATTTCATTGTGGAAATCATCTGGAGCAAATTATAGCCCCTCAGCCTGACAGGAAGGTGATGGCAACCCTCTTATGAAAGGCCTGTGATGGTTTCTTGCTGCTGCTGCGTGCCTTCCCGTCATTTCTAACGTATGGCAACCCTAAGGGGACCCTTTCATAGGGTTTTCTGGGGCTGAAGTGTGGTCACTCAGTGGGTCCCCATGGCCTGATGGGGAATTGAACTCTGGTCTCCAAAGTCATAGCCCAGTACTCAAACCACATCATGCTATCTCTCAGGTTCACATTAGGGTCACCATGCATTAGAAACAACTTGAAGGCACACGGCAACGACAACAGCGATAACAATATCTATGACTGATAGGCAATGTGTTACATAAATGTTAATGGGATTCCTTCTTGATGTGCCATTTCCGAGATGTGGTTTTACTTGTGAAATGTTACTTCGCGCCTCTGCATGGAAACTTTTGCTGCAAGGGCTGTCTTCTTCTTCCCAGCACCTCCTGACCTGCTGTCTCACTACAACAGACTAACACCTCTCCCTCTCAGACTGAGAGACTGCATGCTTCTCACTCTCTTTAGGAAAATGTGTCAAGGTGACCTGAGAAAGCAGAAACGTAGGCACTACTTCCAAAAAAAGCACTATTTTTATATATGAATAGATTGAAAGAAAAGAAAACCATGTCCTTTTTTGTTGAATGGATTTATTTATTTTTTGCCTTTTCCAAGAAATTGTTGTTAAATAAAGTATAAGGAAAGTTTGTAAGAGTTGTTGCAAGAAAGGGGAGAGAGGAAATAGAACAAATCTGTAAGCAAAAATGATACGATTAAAAGAAATTGTGTCCCTTTTTTTTCTAGAACTACCTGCTGGTTGGGAAAAGATTGAAGATCCTGTATATGGTGTCTACTATGTAGAGTAAGTTTATCTGATGCTGTATGCATTTGTGTCACATAATGTTTTGCAAATAAACAGCTTTCATAGTGGAAATTTATTTCAACTGCACATGGATTCTTGGAAAACTAAGCACCTTGATTGTTATGTAGGGATCTGCAAAAGCCTGTGAATGCTTGCTTTTTCTATAATAGGGATATTGTGATCTGTTGCCCTTGTGCTCCCCCTAGTGGCCAATGAAGGACACATCACCATGCCAGCATAGGAGAGGGAAATGCCATTCTCTGCATGCAAGGAGATCTCTAAAGAGCGTTAGGTTTTGAACTGTATACTAAAAGAGAATACAGTCAGCCCTCTACATTCACTTGACTCAGGAGCTCAGGACCACAATGGAAGTGAAAAGCCAGAGAAAAGCTTTCTTTTTTAACCAGAGAGAACACCTCTCATAGTATTGTCGAAGGCTTTCATGGCTGGAATCACTAGGTTCTTGTGGGTTTTTTCGGGCTATAGAGCCATGNAATAAACTAACTTTCCAGGATTTACGCTTGTGAGCTTGGTTTTATTCAAATACCCAGCGGTGTTCCTGACAGCCAGGGAGGGGTTAGATGATTGGTTTGTGTTGATCATTAACGCATCGTTGAAGCAAGAGATTTTTCCCTCTATTCTGAAGCAGGCTGTGGTTCGTCCACTTCTCAAAAAGGCTTCCCTTGATTCCACGGTGCTGAACAATTACAGACTGATCTCCAATCCCTTTTTTGGGCAAGGTGCTGGAGCGGGTGGTCGCCTCCCAGCTCCAAGGCTTTTTGGATGACATCAACTACCTAGATCAGTCACAGTCTGGTTTCAGGCCTGGTCACGGCACCGAGACAGCCTTGGTCGCCTTGGTGGATGACCTTCGTAGAGAGCTGGACAGGGGGAGTGTGACTCTGTTGGTTCTCTTGGACATCTCAGCGGCTTTCGATACCATCGATCATGGTATCCTTCTGGGTCGTCTCTCTGGGATAGGCCTTGGGGGCACGGTTTTGTCGCGGCTCCGGTCCTTCCTGGAGGGATGAACCCAGATGGTGAAGCTGGGAGACGCCTGCTCGGATCCCTGGCCTTTGACCTGTGGGGTCCCGCAAGGCTCTATTCTGTCTCCCATGCTTTTTAACATCTACATGAAACCGCTGGGAGAGGTCATCCGGAGTTTTGGAATCGGGTGCCATCTCTACTCAGATGACACACAACTCTACTACTCTTTTCCACCTAATTCCAAGAAGGCCTCTCGGGTGCTGGACGAGTGCCTGGCCGCTCTGTCTATCTGGATGAGGAGGAACAAGCTGAAGATCAATCCCGACAAGACAGAGGTCCTCCTGGTCGATCGTAAACCGGATCGGGGTATAGGATGGCAACCTGTGTTGGACGGGGTTACACTCCCCCTGAAGGCACAGGTCCGCAGTTTGGGAGTCCTCTTGGATTCATCGCTCACGCTTGAGGCTCAGGCGTCGGCGGTGTCTGGGAGGGCTTTTGCACAATTGAGACTTGTGTGCCAGCTGCGACCGTACCTTGCGAAGGCTGATCTGGCTGGGGTGGTCCATGCCTTGGTCACCTCTAGATTGGATTACTGCAATGCGCTCTACGTAGGGCTGCCCTTGAAAACGGCTCGGAAATTCCAACTTGTCCAACAGGCAGCAGCCAGGATGTTAACTGGGGCTCATTACAGAGAGAGGTCAATCCTCCTGTTCAAGGAGCTCCACTGGCTGCCACTTATTTTCCGAGCCCAATTTAAGGTGCAGGTGCTTACCTACAAAGCCCTGAACGGTTTGGGACCACCCTACCTGTGTGACCGTCTACGAACCCACACGTTCACTTCGGTCATCTGGGGAGGCCCTGCTCGTGATCCCGCCTGCGTCACAAGCGCGCTTGGTGAGGACTCGAGACAGGGCCTTTTCTGTGGCGGTTCCCCGACTCTGGAACGCCCTCCCCAAAGATCTCAGACAGACCCCTACATTGGCAGTCTTCAGAAAGAACTTGAAGACCTGGCTATTCCGATGTGCCTTCTCAGATTAGGAATCTCCAATACCAAGTCCTAGAAGCACTTTAGTAGAATTAAGATTGCCGCACTCTGCACACTGCACTTACTTATAATCCTGCATACCTCCTGCCACATCAGTACTTTTAATGTTGTACCCATTACCCTGGCCCGGCCCAGTTTTATAGTGTCTTGATGTATTGTTTTATTGTTGTTGTTCATACTGCTTAACTGTTTTTAAGCACCATGGCACTCATCAACCAGAGGTTCCCAGAAGACATCACGGCTCTGTTTCACCATTGCCTTACCACAAGTTACTTTCAGTGGGACAATGAATTCTACGAACAGAAAGATGGAGTAGCTATGGGGAGCCCTCTCAGCCCGGTCATAGCTAACTTCTACATGGAACACTTTGAAGAACAAGCCCTGGAAACAGCAACCAAAAAGCCCACGATATGGTTCAGATATGTGGATGACACCTTCACCATTTGGAGCCATGGAGAAGAAGAACTCAACAGGTTCCTGGACCATCTTAACAGCATCCACCCAAACATCCAGTTCACCATGGAAAAAGAAAATGAAGGAAGACTGCCTTTTCTAGATGTCCTAGTCATCCGCAAACCAGATCAACAAACGGTGTGTCTACAGAAAACCCACACACACAGATAGATATCTACATAAAAACTCCAACCATCACCCAAGTCAAAAAAGGCACCATTAAAGCCTTGGCAGACCGTGCAAAAAGAATCTGCGAACCCACCTCCTCCAAGATGAACTGAACCACCTCAACTGGGCTCTCCAGGCCAATGGAGACTCCACCTCAGACATCAGAAGAGCGGCAAGACCAAGAACAAGCCACGAGAGTAAAGATGAAGATCCACCCAGAGGAAAAGTGTTCCTGCCATACATCAAGGGAACCACTGATCGCATAGGGAAGCTGATGAGGAAACACAACATACAAACAATCTACAACCCACCAAGAAAATCCAACAAATGCTACGTTCAGCAAAGGACAAGAGGGATCCTCTCACCTCTGCAGGAGTCTACCGTATACCATGCAGCTGTGGACAAGTCTACATAGGGACCACCAAGCGCAGCGCCCAGACACGCATCAAGGAACATGAAAGGCACTGCAGACTACTTCAACCAGAGAAGTCAGCCATAGCAGAGCACCTGATGAACCAGCCTGGACACAACATATTATTTGAGAACACAGAAATGCTGGACCACACCAACAACCACCATGTCAGACTACACAGAGAAGCCATTGAAATCCACAAGCATGTGGACAATTTCAACAGAAAGGAAGAGACCATGAAAATGAACAAAATCTGGCTACCAGTATTAAAAAACTCTAAAATTATAACAGCTAAACAACAGAGAGGAAAAAACCAGGCACAGATTAACACCTCCCAGCAACAGATTTTACCAGGTTCAGGCAGGCCTTCAAATGCTAATGAAGGTGATCAGCTAAACATTCACACCTAATTGCAGCAGGGAAGAGCTCCTTGCCCCACCCCAGCCATTCCACAGATATATAAACCCATTTTCCTACTTCCAACAGACCTCACTACCTCTGAGGATGCTTGCCATAGATGCAGGCGAAACGTCAGGAGAAAATGCCTCTAGAACATGGCTATATAGCCCGGAAAAACCTACAACAACCTACCTCTCATAGTTTTTGGATTTGAGGAGTGTTTCAATCTGTGTTAGTCCTGTACAGAAGCTGTTGAAAACTTCCCTCATATTCCCACCTTTCTGCATGGAAATAACTCTAAGGTGGTCTTCCTCGTTGACCCACCACAACTTTATGGTCAACTTCTGTTGGAGGCTGATCATGTATTCACTTGATGCTGTTCTTTTCAGAAATCTCTAGACCCTTCAGCATGACTGAAGAAGGTGTAGAATCATACTGGAGGATCTAGAGACTCACACAGATAATATTTTAAATCAAATCCATAAATAATCAAATCTGTAGAAGACAATTTCTAATAATACATGGTCATCTTCCTTTGTGCTGCATTTTCCCAGCATCACACCATCGTATTAAAAGGGAGCCACGGTGGTGCAATGGGTTAAACCCTTGTGCTAGCTGAACTGCTGACCTGAAGTTCAGCGGTTGTGGAATCCATGAGACAGGATTAGCTCCGATCTTTCAGTTCTAGCTTCCCATGTGGGGACGTGAGAGAAGCCTCCCACAGAATGCTAAAACATCCAGGTGTCCCCTGGGCAGACGGCCAATTCTCTCACACCAGAAGCGACTTTTTCAAGTCGCTTCTGACACAATAAAAAAAATCTTATTAATGCCATCAGCAAAATGTTTTTGGTTGAGTGCACTGATGCAGTAATGAACTGACATGTATCAGTTCCAGAGTTCTTTCTTTCTTCATTCCTTGAGTTGTGGCTGTAGCAGGACGTTCAGAGCGCTCTGCATCCGTCACACTGGCACAGCCATTTTCAAACACTGCAATCCACTTCTAGATGTCTCTAGAGAGATGCAGAGATGAATTTGTGCTCCCAACACACTTTCTGTTAACAAAACATGTATGACAGAACACTGGTGCTTTTGGGTGCAACATACACATTTCACAGCCATCTTCACTACAGCATGACAACTCTTACACTAAATTGCAAGGTCAGCCAGCTTGCCAAGACAGACTAGTCACATGGCACTCCCAGACACAACTAATCACTACTACTCCCATCAGCATCATTGCCAATGAAAATATAAACGTATGGAATTTTTTTGAAGACCCCACATACATATGCACGCATACAGATAAACACTGAGAGACATTACATGGAAGTGGGGACAGTATAAATTTCAAAATTAAGCACTGAGTTATTATTTTGAAATACCAGCCCCAAAACATCCATTGTGTTGAAAAATCAAAAGGTTTTCAAGTCCCCTCATCAGGACATAGGATTGGACTGGTGTTCCAGTACACAGAATTCCTCTTCAGACAGACTTGGATCATTGTAGCTGTGTTTATCACCTACTTTTTCATCACATTCAGAAAGACTCCTGCAGAACAAAGGATGTAAAGAAATCTTGAATTTTCCATTCTCTGCAAAATAAATTGTCTGAACATAGCCAGACAGCCTTTTCTCCTCTAAAGCAGTGGTTCTCAACCTGGGGTCCCCAGATGTTTTTGGCCTACAACTCCCAGAAATCTCGGCCAGTTTATCAGCTGTTAGGATTTCTGTGAGTTGTAGGCCAAAAACATCTGGGGACCCCAGGTTGAGAACCACTGCTCTAAAGGATGAGACAAGGTTCACTTCTTTCTTCTATTAAAAGGTTTCACAATTTTGCAAAACTTCTCTATGGAAAATCTCTTTCATGAAGGCACACATCCACACAACAAGCACAGAAGAGCTCTGCAATATCCCGCACAGAGAATATTATTCTGTTTTGTTTTGTTTGTTTGTTTGTTTGTTTTGGGGATGGGGACAAAAAATATGTCCCCACATGGCTTGCATAGACCAAATTTGTGTGGAAAAAAAAACATACACCCTGAGCTGGTAGGAACTCTCTACATCCAAGTTTTCTCAGAAGGGAGTGTCTCCCAGTGCTAAAAACAATCCTTTTCCACTGTGTAAATAGGTAAATATGTTTTTATATCCTTAAAAGTTTTCATGGTTGGCAGTTGTGCCTGTTTTATGCATTATAATTCTTGAGACCAAAGCCAGCTAAATATACATTTAAAATATGTCATTAATTTATCTGGGGATTTAGGGAAACGTTCATCTGTTTTGGGAGACATGAGACTGTCAACCATCATGTTAGGAATTCACACTAATTTATCACTGACGGAGGATAGTTCATATAACTTGACATCTTCTCCAATGTGCTTAGGTGTCTTTTTAAATGAGGTTGGTTCCATTGAGAAATTGGACAATGTCATAATATCACAGTATTGTAATAAAACAATGGAATCCAAAGGGTTGCATTTAGGATGAGTGGCAAAATGTTTGTCTGATTCTGGCACAGGTTCATTGAAAACAGTGAAGTTGTACATGCCCTCTGGGAACATAAAGGTTCAAGAGAGAGTTTATATTTAGATTTCTTGGTTTTTTAAAAAGTAATATTTGTAAATAATATTTGATGGTAAATAAAAGTTGATTTTAGATATAATTAATGGTCTTACAACTACAGAATTATTTTTTTCTATATTATCTATTCTGTACAGGCAGTCCCTGAGTTACAAACATCCGACTTACAAATGACTCATATTTAGGAACAGGGGTGAGATAACAGGAAGTGAGAGAAATCTACCTCTCAGAAGGGAAGTTCACTCCTGAAAGATTTACCATGGGGAAAAAGTGTCTCCACTGAAGATTTATCACCAATCCTTGTTTCCACAACAAACCAAATTCTTTGAAATCGAGTTATCACAGGGACAGAAAGTGAGGTGAAATCTTCTGACCAAGGGCATAGACAGCAAAGCAAGCTTCACACACACACACACACACACACACGCACGCACGCACGGGTGGAGTGACACTTAAAATATGCCTGTTCTGACTTACATGCAAATTCAACTAAAGAACAAACAGAACCTATCTTGTTCGTAATTTGGGAACTGCCTGTACTGACATAACATTATTTTGAAGTATAATGTTTCTTCAGAGTTTAAAAACAAAGGCCAGATGAAAGAAAAAAGAGAATATAGAAAGAAATATAGACAAAAGGACAAAAAAAGGGCTTCTAACTCTTCAGTAGTTTTTCATATAAAGGCTGTAATCATACAGCATACATTTCTTTCAATATATAAACCATACTAATTGTCAAAACTCAAAATTATCAGGTCATTTTTTCCTCACAAAAAGTCTACAAAGGACTTCAAATCTTTTAGAAATATCATTAGTGATTTTTCTCTGATCAAACCAGATAGTTTATCAATCCCTACTAAATTAGTCAGTTTCAACAACCATTGCTCAATTGAATTCTTCTATCTTTTTGTATTGAACAATCATGTCTTTAATAATAATAATAATAATAATAATAATAATAATAATAATAATAATAGTAATAATAATAAAAAAAATATTCCACCCTCTCTTTCTGAGTGGACTCAGGGCAGACATAACAGAAATTGGAGGCATCATATGCCAACTTAGAAGATTTTGAACAAGGTTATTATTAGCTTGTAGGACTTGCTTTTCAGTTATTTTTTTCTCCAATCTACCGTATTTGCAAAGTTTTGTTCTAGAGCAGTGGGGACCCACAGATTGAGAACCATTTTTCTAGAATATAATAAGTAGGTTGTGCATGTAATGAAAACAAGGGTTACATACCTTGTATCTTTCCCTTTTGTAATCAACTGAGCCAAACAGTGTTTGCACATATTAGAATCTCATTAATCCATAAAGGATACATAATCGTAAGCATAGCATCCCATCACTATTAATCATATTGTTTGCAAATAAACTTGTTTTAAAAAATGTCCATATATCTTAAGAGGTCAAGAGGATGAGACACCACGCTTAATTTTTGCTTCTTAGTCGACTGTTTTGGTACAAAGTAAATGGACATTGTGCTGCCTGACCTTTCATTTGACTTGTGTTCCCCCCCCCCCTGTAAACAGAATATTTGAGCCTATTCAGAATGAATGTTCCACTATTTACAATGATCTTTTTCTCCCCCAGCCATATCAACAGGAAAACACAATACGAGAATCCAGTTCTGGAAGCTAAACGGAAGAAACAACTTGAGCAACAACAGCAGCAGCCACCACCGCCACCACCACCAACATCACAGCCACCTGAAGGTTAGTACTTGTCTGTGCAAAATCATTAGGACTGAACTGTTTCTGAAACAGCACATGTATTATATTCCTTAAAGGTTTCATATTATATGGTGGTTTTTGTCTAAATCTAGTTTAGTAGCAATCACAGTGGCTCCACAGAATCAGGAAATTTAATTTGTGATTTACCAAGTTCCCATTAATTCAATGGGCCTATTCCGATTGAATTAACAATTGGATTTAGGTATTTAACTTAGGCAACCCAAGGTTCCATCTCATGTAGAGAAATAATGCTTGAGTCCCAGTAATTAAGATATAAGAAAAAAAAGATATTTAAAGTTGCAGAATTGTGAACATTCACCCAAGCAAAGAAATATAGAGCTTTAGGGCACTTCCAGACAGCATCAGGATATTGGTTTTAAAAAGTGGGCCAAAAAATCCCAGGGCCTGACAGCAGGTTCACACACAGACCTGTCAGCCCTGTGAAGTGCTCCCCTGCCATACTCACATCTTCCTTTGAAGTGGATCAAGATAGAAGGTGGATGGGGGACATCCGGCAGATTTTTTTTAAAGCTCTCCAAAATGTCTTGGACCTCATATGCGCTTATGTGAATATCCTAAAGTACACACAAGCAGATTCCTTATTCTCTTCACACAATTCTATGTTCAAGCTCTATTTAATATTATAAAGAGCTAAAGAAAGGAATGGTTGCAGATAGTTCTAATTGTCCATTTGTGCTTCTTTTTAGCCACCTGGTTGTCCGTTGCTCCATTTTTTGACAGCCCCATCCGCTGTTTTAGGCTTTTAAAGTATGCATGCGTATTGGAGCTGTCCTCACAGGGGGATGGGAAGGAAGTCACGTGTTTTCCATGACTGCAGGGATATACAGTCATGCAAAGTTGCACTTTTTGGGATGAAATCAGGTTTTAAGTGCACTTTTTAAACACATGCTTTTCAACTGTTAACTTGATTCTTCTCCTACTTTCCCCAAGTGTCGTTTAGCCACTACCACCCCTTTTATTCCAGTTGCTTTTGGATTTTACTGCATGTGTAGAAGAGCCCATAGCTAATCATTATGAAACACACCCAGCATTTCTTGTTGAATACTGCGAGCTATTATTTCCTTCAGTAAGCCTAAGAAGGAAGTCCAAACAAGTTGTCATAGGAACAACTAAGTTACAGAGAAATATCAAGAGCCCCTTCCCATGCACACATACAATAGAAGAGCATCTTCTAAAGATTGTGAAGAGTAATATGATATGTCCATTTACCCAATATAAAAATAGTTAAAATTTATGTCATCCTTGTATTCTTTTTAAGGAAAAAAATTACGTTATTTGAGCTTTATGTATTTTGTGTATCAGTATAACCACTAACAATATGTAGCCTGGAATATGTAGCCTGTAGCAAGGTGGTAAAAGGAGTGAGCAATCCTGGTAGAAGAGATCCTCTTAGTAACATCACTTATCTGAAGGAACAACCTCATGGGTACGGAAATGGTATCCAGTAGATGTAAGTCCTACAGCAGTGCCATTAAAAGGAAAAATGAGGATACTGACTCATTTCCCCTTGTATCTGGCTTCTCTCTGTTCCCTAGTCAGCAATTATAGAGAACAATGCTTTTTAAATTGTATTTTTCCACTTGGAAGAAGGAACATTCCCTTCCTCTCCATCCCCACAACAGTATTAATCTTAAGGAAACAAGGAGTAGAGACTTAATCCTATGTACTACCTGATCATTTGATCAGTAGATGGATAGTGTCTTGGGCAGTATTCGATGTTTCTACTTACTGTTCATCTTTTCCTTAGATTTTCTGAGATAAAAAATGAATGAAGTTCAATAAAAAGCTTCACTGTTTCTCATAAGAGATTAAACATACTGCTCTGTTTATGATGTAAGCCAGTGTTGCTGATAAGCTCTGTTCTAGCTCTGTTCTCTGTCTAGCTCAGTTCTCTGTGACCAATAGTGTCAGTTGTTTTCAAACATCCTTTTTCCATATTACCAAATACCTCCTTGTTTAGATCTGTTCTTCACTGTTGTCCATAGTTTTTGTGTACAGAGATGGCTCACTTTCTGTAGTCTTTCTTGTTTGCACACAGTGTGAGCAGAATCTAAGAGTCCATCTACACTGTAGAATTAATATAGTTTAACACTACTTTAATATTACCATGGCTCAATATTATGAATCCTGGGAACTGTAGTTTGATGAGGCAGCAGAATTCTTTGGCAAAGAAGGTTAGAGAACTGGTAAAACTACAACTACCTGATTCCACAACATTTGGCCATGGCAGCTATAGTGGTGTCAAACTGCATACATTCTCCAGTGCTGCTGCATTTTAAGACATGTATATCAAGTCTACTGTGACACCTCTTTTGAGACAATGATCTGCAAACAGACCCACTTCCAATGATAGATCTTACTGTGGTCTAAGGAGAAATATAACCCTCAGTTTTCTTTTCTCAGAATGGACAGAAGACCACCCCCCTCTTGCTCCTCTCTCTGTTCCAAACCATGCTCCAAACAACCAGGAAACTGTTCGAGATGCTCCAGTACAAGGTAAATTATTGTCCAAGTTGCTTCATTGTATGAAAGGGAACAAAGTATTACACAAAACAACAATTAAGGCATGCACAATAGCAAGAACCTTACAAATATAGAAGGACCAATCCTGCTGAAAAGATTTTAAGGTTTTCCCCATTATAGAGTCTGAACATAATTAATATGGGACACTTGTATAAATACATCTATTTTGAGGTTATAGCCCTTTTAAAGCATGCCATTGCTATCGATTGTCATTGTCCTCTCTCTGTCATCCATGGAACCCTTGGAGCAACTTCAGATCTTATTCTGAAACTCCTTCATCTACATCTGTGTGAGCAGCATGACACAATCATTGGAGCTTACCTTTCAGTCTATTCAGTACACTTGTCAAAGAAACAGATTGACAGCTTGAACCAGTGATCCATTTGCAAGACTAGTTCAGTATGTGATGGTGCATTTGAAAGATCACAATTTATTGACATAGTTATGAAACAATTATGTGACCCTGCAAAAATTTCATGTTAAAAAACATAAAAGGAGATGAAGTTAGATTTTCAGGCATAAAAAACATACAAAACAGAGCTAGGTTATTTTGTGTAACAGCTTTCCATTCTTGCATTGAACTTTTGTGTATGTTGCTACGCAAAAAAAAAAAATCAAAATTGTCACATTGCTAATTAATTTGAGTTAATATGGAAAGCCATTTTCTTTGGAGATTACCCATGGCATATTCATCTTCTTGCTTAGCAATTTTCCACTCTCAAAAATGTATTTAAATTCAAAAATAATTAGCATCACTTAAAGCTGAGGTGTTCTGAGTCATCCCTAAGAATCAGACTCTGTATCATTTGTGTCACTTTGGCTGATGTTTGCAATTACATTTTTTAATAAATATTGAATCCATTCTTGCATTATCTATTATATTTAAAAACATACTTGAAAACATTAAGACATATTTATTATCATGCATGTTATGATACTTTATAATATATTCTGCTCAGATTCCAGCTCTCTTTCTAATCTGTGGGGAGCCATGACTTGTCTTATTTATCAGGGCTTGCTATCAATGCCTTCCTAACGTTATGGTTTGTTTATCCTCCCTGCACAGTACATCTGTGTTTATTTTTCAGTTGTACATGCTTTAATTTCATTAGACACAGTTCTCAATTCAGCCATGCGCAGCACACACTCTTGCTTACTATTGCCTTTAAAAGCTTGCGTTGAAATCTTTTGTTGTTGATGTGAACAGTATGCATGTAGATGACAGAAAATATATATAAGGCTCATGGTTTAGTGCCCAACACCTTAAGTGATATTATGAAGTTCTTAATGCCTTAAAGAGCAAGCACTTTAAATTTAATTGTCTGGCTTGCTATAGGGTACCATATATACTCATGTATAAGTTGAACCCACATATATGTCGAGGACATGTTTTGTGGCCAAAAATGTGGATTTTAATTTGACTCATGGATAAATCAAGGGTCATTCTAAAGAGAGGGAAAACCGTCAGTGTAGTCTTAGAAGGCCAACTACCTGTGGATGTCACCACCAACATTTTCTTGTCCAGGCGTTCAAAAAGGCCTCCACTTAGAAAAGCATATGGATCTTTTTTTAAAAAAGAAATAAAAGTTAAGGTACAATATTAACAGAAAAGGAACCATCTCCTTCTCCAAGTAGAGTGGCAAAAGTTGAGGTCTTAGTCCATTCTGGAAGAACTTAAAAAGAAGCACTGACCTCTTTTATTCTCTCAGCCCTCCTTTGAGGGAAAGTACTAAAGAGGCACAATTTTCCTACCCAGGCATCTAAAAAGACCAGAAATAGCATTCTGGCAGAAAAAGAAGAGGTGGGTGGTGCTTCTTTTATGTTGAACTGAGCTCTTGGCTTTTGCCACTCTACTGTGAGATGGGGATGGTTTCTTTTTTTTATAATAGTTTTTTTCCAGGTCAATTTTTGATTCAAATTTCTAGACTTCTACGTGAGTGTATATAATAATTTCATATATTGGTTAACCAGCTGCTATAATCAGCAAAGCATCCATTTTCCACATATTTGCAACTGCTATGTATAATGATCATCGCCAGAAGCTACCAGCCCGGGTAGAAGGAATAAGGGCAGTCCCTCATAAGTGTTACAGGTTATGTGAAAACAAACAAAATGTGTGCAGTCCTGTCCAGACTTCCCCAGCTCTTTTGTGCATCCACAATGAGCAAATATGAGCCAAGAAAATGAGAAAATCAAAATTTACTCTTAAGTAGCAGAGTCAAGGAGAAAATTAAACAAGCAGCTTCAAAACAACACAAAACCTCCAGTTTCAAAATAGTTCAGTCCATTTGGAGCAACAAACTCACATAAAGTTCTTTGCATTAAATTCATGCATCTTCTTTGGAGATTTTTCTTCATTTAATAATGCAAGGAGACAAGCATTGTAGGTTCTCAGCCAGGAATTTACTCCGAATAAGTTCTGAAGCAAGTGGTTCAGTAAGTCCCAAAATCCATTACAAACATTCCCCAAGTTATACCCCATTCAGGGAGTGGTTCAAGCTTGTTATCCTTAATTGTCCTAATTACCTGACTATGAATTGTGATTGACCAGGTGTTTTTCCCTTAACACACACACGCGTAGCAATCCCACAGAAACTTAGTCAAATATATGCATATGCAGTAATAATAAGTACATAATTATTTGCACATGAGAATGTTCATTGACAGCCAGTGTGTGTGTTGTGAACCCATGTGCAAAACACATTTTCAGTATCTAGTATGCCCTGCAACTAGATAAATATTCAGTTATATACCTGATGGAACCTCTGATTAGCCTTTTTGGCAGTATTAAACTACAGTGAATTTTTGGCATCCAAAATCAATACATATTTATGAGACTCAAAATTATATAACTTTTACAAAAATCAAATCAAGGAATCCCTGCATGAAACCTGTGCTCACCCCACTTTAGCTCTGCTGCCCAATACACTATAAGGCTCAAAAAGACATCCCCCTCCCCAACAAAAATAGAGAGGGGTGTTGGGGAAAGCTCCCTTTCTTCTGTGGTGGGGGTGGATGTGCTCTGAGCCCCTCCTTGGTTGGTGAGACCTGTTGTTTTGGGCCCCATGCACTTGGGGTAGGGCAACCACTGAGAGATTCTTATCTTAATTGTAGAACCATAAATATATTTTTAGAATCGTCTGTCTTTCCCTCCTCGTACATGCAGCTATAGACACTGCCAAGTTGTTTTGGATTCTTTTGTTTGATCTTGTTATGCAATTTATAGAAGACATAATGAAGCCATACTACTGTAAAACTAGAACAACTTTAAAGGAAGATCTGCACTTGAACTAGTTGTACTTAATAAGGCCATTTCATTAAAAGAAATTGTAATTAGGTTGTACATTACAATAGCGTTTTATAATATCACTGCCTGTTATCTTCTCACTAGATGGAGTATATTAATTGGTATAATGGTTCCAGGCAAGGAGGGATGAGTGTGATCCTTCTTTTGAGCTTCCTGAGAGCTTTCCTTCTCTTTGAAAGAATGTCGTCAGTGAAGTTTTATCTCTTCCTCATCCTTACAAGCTGATACATTTTATTGGTGACAAAATGGGTGGAAGGATAGTAGAGAAGTGAAGGATAGTAGAGAAGTGAGCATAATATTTTATATGTATGTGTGTGTGTGTATATATATATCTACCTGTCTTTCCATATTGGCAAATTGGTAAACTTCTGAAACTTCCACAGCCGGAAAACCATTTTTCACGCGGAACCCATCTGAACTGAAAGGGAAGTTTATTCATACCAAGCTAAGGAAAAGCAGCAGGGGTTTTGGCTTTACCGTTGTTGGTGGAGATGAACCAGATGAGTTTCTTCAGATCAAGAGTTTGGTGCTTGACGGCCCTGCAGCTTTGGATGGCAAAATGGAAACAGGTAACTCTCTTGCTCTAGAAAAAAAGAAAAATAATAATAACTGTGTGCCACTTGCGTAATACCATCCATTCAAAACTCTCAATAGCGATCATAGTCCAGTGAACAGAGCTCTTTAGGATGTGAGACCTTGAAGCTCTGGGGTCAAACTGCACATTCAGGCATAAATTCAAGATTCTTTGGAATGTGGAATTGCTTTGACCTCCATCTTGCATCTATAAAACAAAACCAATAAAACCTGTCTTCACTTAAGGATTTTGAAACACTCAGAAGTGGACTATAATTTTTTAGCTACTCGATCAATAAAACTCTGGTACCTGACAAAATAAGTAAACAGCCTTGTCATTAACTTCTGTGGCTGCTAAGCAGTGTTGTAGTTGGTGTTGTCACCTAGATGGGATGCTATTTGAAACACAGAAAACTAAGAGAACGGGTAAGCAATTACTTGATGGTCCTTTTATGTAGCTTGTAGGTTTTGACAGTTTCTGTCTCGGTGCAGATCACTTACCTGGCATGTATTCTGCTAATTGCTTACTGCAATGCAGCATGTGTCCCAGCCTGGATGCGAGAAAGAATGGAGTAGTATGCTGAGAAGTCTGCATGTGATTCTGAATTAGTCTAACCAACACTGCATAGGTTTCCATATTTCATTTTTGCATATATTGCAGCTATTTCAGATGAACAACATCTGAAAATGTCAAATGGCTAGGGCACAGAACACCACATTAGTGCTTACGTAGTTCTCTGTCTATCTTGGAGGCCATGATGTTCATTGATCCATGTCATTCTTTAAATCTTAAGCATCTGTAACATTTATGTTTTCTAAATTTATAGGATATGGGGAATAGCATATGGGGAATAGACCAAGGATACATCTACACTGTAGAATTAATGCAGTTTGATAACACTTTAACTGTCATGACTCAATGCCATGGAATTGTGGGGTTGTAGTTTTACAGGAGTAGAGACATCACACTGGCAATGAAGATCCGCATAGTTAAAGAAGTGGTCGTAACCTATGGATGCGAGAACTGGAACATAAGGAAGGCTGAGTGAAGGAGGATAGATGCTTTTGAACTGTGGTGTTGGAGAGAAATTCTGAGAGTGCCTTGGACCGCAAGAAAACCAGTCCATACTCCAGGAAATAATGCCTGACTACTCACTGGAGGGAAGGATATTAGTGGCAAAGATGAAGTAATTTGGCCACATAATGAGAACATGGGAAAGCTTGGAGAAGATAATGATGCTGGGGAAAAAGGAAGGAAAAAGGAAAAGGGGCTGACCAAGGGCAAGATGGATGGATGTTATCCTTGAAATGACTGGCTTGTTCTTGAAGGAGCTGGGGGAGGCGACGGGTTTAGTGAGGTCCTTGGATTGGCCCCGCCGGGGTCAGCTCCGGCCCTGGCGGAGCACTGAGGAGATGGTTAAACTTGACTATCTAGAGGAAGTAAAAGTTGTAACAAGGTTTTCATAATTTTAAGCCATGGGAGTTAAAGTGGTATCAGATAGCAGTAATTTTCAGTGTAGAGATCCCCCTGTGGTCTACTCACCCTATGTGTTTATTTAAGTCTTGTATTTGAAGCAGGCAATTCTTGTGCTCTTAATGTTTTTGATCAACACTGTCCTTAACAACATTAGTAAGCAGAATCATTCATTAGAGATGGGTTGTCAAAGACTTTCATGGCCGGAATCACTGGTTTGCTGTGAGTTTTTCAGGCTGTATGCCCATGTTCCAGTAGCATTCTCTCTTCCAGGAGAGAATGCTACTGGAATATGGCCATACAGCCTGAAAAACTCACAGCACCCCATTAATTAGAGAGTTTCAGCCCCAAAAGACATAGAAAGCTATGGTTGCCCAATCCTTGGCTTAAAACAGCGAAGGTTATTATTTTTGTACATTGAAACATGCAAATTTAACTCAGAGCCTGAATAATATACTTGAGCCTGAATAATATCTGGGATCATTCTAGAAAAGGCTCTGTAGAGAGTTCCAATCAATTTTCATCTCATATAGGCACAATTTTAAGCTTGACTGGTCCTTCACTTAAAAAGAAGTGAATTCAAGGGACAAGTGGCACTTGATAAAGAATGTGGGTCTTTTAGAACTTTATATGTTACAAATTTGAACTAAAATGTATAAAAAATCAACATCTTCAATAACATATGTGGAGAACAAGCATCTCATATGACATATTGCTGCATACCTGCACTTAGCATACCTGCCCTGAATAAAGCGAAATCCATGGGTGACCATGGAATCACAGTAAACTTTCATGTATTTGCAACTCCAGTTACCAATTAATGTTATCCAACAGGTTAAATGCTCAGTATCAGTATTTCATAGAATCCTACAGTTGGAAGAGACCTCATGGGCCAACCCCCCTGCCAAGAAGCAGGAAAATCACATTCAAAGCACCCCTGAACTCTTGGAGGCTTAAAAGCCTCCAAAGAAGGAGCCTTCACCACACTCCGGGGCAGAGAGTTCCACTGCTGAACAGCTCTCACAGTCAGGAAGTTCTTCCTAATGTTCAGGTGGACTCTCCTTTCCTATAGTTTGAAGCCTTTGTTCCACGTCCTAGTCCCCAGGGCAGCAGAAAACAAGCTTAGTAAGCGTATACAATAAACTGTATCCAATCATGTAGTATGTGTATACAACACATTGGTTCCAAACTTACTATAGCTATGTTCAAAAACCCTAAGCTAAAACAACATATTTCTCTGGTTGTAGATTGTCCCTCCCTTTCACTCCAGCAGACAGTCTCCTTGACCCAGTGGCGGAAAGGACTGAACCCTCTCTTGTTGGAGGGCAATCCCGCGACCCCCAGTTTAGTGCCTGGCTCTGCTATGCACAGGTTTGAACATATAATTATCAAATAACAACTCATTCTATTCCCAGTGATATAAGACATACTCCAGTTTTGAAAGGGAGGAAACTTTCAAACACAGTTTGTTGAATAGCAAGGGTTATGTGTGCCCTTCTCAAAGAAGAACATTGTATTTAAAAACAAAATCTACTAACTATACACTTAGCTGAGTTTGAAATCAATTTCCATCCAGAATTAAATATCTTCATATTATTTGAGTACAATTGAATACCCAAACCTGAGTTGTAGATATATAGTGTACGGTACCACTGCTTTTGATTATGTAAACTTACAGTGTTTTGATCAATTTGTTCCACAGGAGACGTTATTGTCAGTGTGAACGACACCTGTGTTCTGGGCCATACGCATGCTCAAGTTGTGAAAATCTTCCAGTCGATTCCCATTGGTGCCAGCGTGGACCTAGAACTGTGCCGAGGCTACCCTCTGCCTTTTGACCCAGATGATCCCAACACAAGCCTCGTGACATCTGTGGCCATTTTGGATAAAGAGCCGATCATTGTGAATGGGCAGGAAAACTATGACTCCCCAGCAAGCCATGGTAGTAAAACAGGGAAAGTCAATGGAATGAAGGAGCAAAGGCCTAGTAGTCCTGCTGAAGTGTCTTCAAATGGATCCCATGGCTACCCAAATGACACTGTCTCTTTGGCATCTTCTATAGCAACGCAACCTGAACTCATAACTGTACATATAATCAAAGGACCCATGGGCTTTGGTTTTACTATAGCAGACAGTCCTGGGGGTGGTGGACAGAGAGTGAAACAAATTGTTGACAGCCCAAGGTGCCGAGGCCTCAAAGAAGGTGATCTTATAGTTGAAGTCAATAAGAAGAATGTGCAGAATCTAACTCACAACCAGGTTGTGGATATGCTGATCGAATGTCCTAAAGGAAGTGAGGTGACTTTGCTTGTGCAACGAGGAGGTAAGTCTGATGAGTTTAACTTTTTGTTCAACACAGAGCAATACATCTTACTTAAACTTGCATGCTTTAAATACATAGAACCACCTAAATAGATTGAAAATGGAAAACCATTAGCTTTTAATTTAAATTGCACTATGATGTTTTGGGTTAAGTCTGCTGTTTGATTTTTATGCCTCTGTATCAGTGCACTGGGAAAAGAAAATGACGTATGGTATTAATCTTCCCAGAAATAAGACATTAAAAGCCATGTGGAAATTGATGTATTTATGAGAGTCTGAATTGACATTTGAACTTTGTCGACCAAATAAGATGAGATAGTCTTAATCAGGAACTTACCCGATTTAATGAGAAACTGAAATGGTCAGTCAGCTGGATTTTTATTAATGAGTTTCATTTCTGTCTTCTCTCTTGGTACCATTTTTAGTTCATCATCTTTTCGCAAGTCATAGGAAAAGAATTGCTATGATTCCATTTTGGTTCTTAATTGCTTCCATGATAAAGGTGCTTTGATATGTGGTAGCTAAGTACATTTTCCATAAGTTGTCTGTGCTGGTGTTTTCCTTAGTACGTAAAAGGCCAACTTCCTTGCCTTCCTTTCTCAAGTTTCCTTGGGCTCTCTCTGACCTTTTCATAGGCCTTACTTATAAGAAACATTGTGTAGCCTCATTGTCTGTGGACACTGGTTGTATCCTCTGGCTAACTCCCAGGGATTTTTGCAATCCAGCCTCTCTATCTGTCCATTGAATGCCTTGCTACACCCAATTGTTTACATGCCTGTCTTTATGGACTTTCATCAAGTTTTCACTTTTTCCACAGCTCCAAGGCAGGGAGCAGTTTATCTCGGCTTCCAATATTTTGTCTCCTGATCCTATCTTTCCTGTATCTCAGTTTTCTGCTATGTTCTTTTTGTCCCCATAGTGAGACTTTGCTATTCAGGGGCATGCCAATTGTGAGTTTATACAAAGAACTTACATTGTACTTGTACAATGTTTCTTCTGTTGCCGTACTTTAGTAACAGAGATTTCGGAATACTTTGCCCAGTGAAGACCTTGCTCTAGATATTATGAGAGGTGATGGTTCATAAACATAGACTTAGAACTACCCCATTTTAGTTTTCAAGTATTTGAGTTTGATAAAGTTATGTTAATCTGTTTCAGAAAAAGATGCACAAGCAGCCCCTGGGTTACCAGCAATATATGTTCTGTATATTTATTCTTAAATTGAATGTATATGTAAGTCAGAACAATGGAACCTCAATTTCTGTCCCTGTGATAATTGGATTTTGAAAAATTTGGATTGTTGTTGAAACAAGGATTTGTGATAAAACTTCAGTGGAGACACCTTTTCCCCATGGTAAATCTTTCAGGAGTGAATATACCTTCTTAGGTGTAGATTTCTCTTACTTTCTGTTGTCCCACCCCCATTTGTAACTAGAGTAATATGCATGTCAGATGTTTGTGACTGAGAGACTGCCCTGTTTTAGTTTTCTATGTTTTTTTGGTAGTATTTGAGATAAGGTTTTATTAGTCTGTTTCAGCATAAGAACGTACAAATGAGCCCTGTAACACCTTTGAGACTGAGATAATGAAAATTCTAGCCTTATTTCTTTATTTCTTTATTTACTGTATTCATATATCACTTTTCTCACCCCAGGGGGGACTCAAAGCAGGAGCCCCCGGTGGTGCAGTGGGTTAAAGCACTGTGCCAGCAGGACTGAAGACCGACAGGTCGCAGGTTCGAATCCAGGGAGAGGCGGATGAGCTCCCTCTATTAGCTCCAGCTCCTCATGCGGGGACATGAGAGAAGCCTTCCACAAGGATGATAAAACATCAAAAATCATCCAGGCGTCCCCTGGGCAACGTCCTTGCAGACGGCCAATTCTCTCACAACAGGAGCGATTGCTCCTGACATGACAAAAAACAAACAAACAAAAAACAACAACAAATAATGGCAAAATTCAATGCCTCACATACATATAAAACCAAATGATAAATCTAAACAAAACATGTAACTGTGCATTACAATCAATAAAACAATTAAACATAAGATCAAACAATATTTAGACATGAGGACATAAAAATTAAAACCACTTAATATAAACATTAAAATCACACGATCCAAACTCATAGATTGGGGCCATTCCAAATATCAATTGCACATATTCCATAGTTATTTCTTGTACTGTGTTACTTTACTAACCAAAGGTTTTGTTCCATAACCATGTCTTTGTTTTCTTTCTGAAAGCCAGGAGGGAGGGTGCTGCTCTAGTCTCACTGGAGAGATAGTTCCAGAGCTGAGGAGCCAGCACTGAGAAGGCTCTGTCTCTCCAAAGCAGGTTGGACCGAGAGCAGGTTGGACCGAGAGCAGGGCCTCCCCAGAAGATGTTAACCTCTAAGATGGTTCATAGAGGGAGATATGTTAGCATTAGCCTTTCATCAGATGTATGATGCAATTTTAAAGTTATCTTAAAAAGATAAATAGTTGAATCAAAATGAAAAGATGTAAAGGGTTCCTATGGTGCATTTGAAAGTGGTGGCAAAAATAAAATATGTAATGTAATCTTCATGGAATGCAGCCAACCTCATCAGATGCAAAGGGAAGTGCACCAGAGTCCACAAAAGTTTGTGTTAGAAATACGCTTTCCCATTTCGTTTCAAAGGTGCTACACAATTTCATTAAAGTAGTTTCTTTGGTGGGGAACGTTTTTATGAATGCATGAATGGTATGGGGTCCTCTATATAATACGTCAGGTCCAAAATGGGGTGTAGGCTATTTCTTCCATTCATTTTTCTCTTTGTATAAAAACAGCCAGAACAAAATGGTCCATTTTGTGGAAACAAAGGTGATGTCCACAGTAGGATGTATTTTGGATATGCATGTGACTACAGTACCTTTGGATCTAGTGCTAACTAGAAAGATGGATCATTAGGTGCCAAATTCTGTCTTAAAGCAATATATCTGAGGTTTTAATTGAAACTTCATTGAAACTTCTATACTTCGTTTATTACTGTATCCATATGCAGCCTGATTACTAGAAGTAAATAGCAGAGCTCCTTCACCTTTCTGTAATTGTGCTGAAGAGGACATGCTGCCAGATGCCACTAGTTCTGGATGACAAAGTCATTACAAAAATTTCCTGTCCTCCATAAGAAAAGTTACAGGGAGCTTATACTGTACTCCTTAAATCTCCATCTCTTTGTACTTTTCTCTGTCCCTTTAGGAGAGGCATGGGTCTCTGAGTCATGCATCACTCTGAATAATCTTTGTTTTGCTTCCAAGAACTGCATTTGGCTCCTAGTTTATGATCAAACTCTTTCCCTGTCTCTCCTGAAGGACGCAATTGTGCCGGTTGCCTTTCTCTCCTTCTCCCTCTGCTGTCTAGAGGAGAGAGTGCTAGGGAAAAGCCTCGCTGTCAGGCATTTGTTTTATTAACATGCCGTTTGTGTTCAGTCAGGCTTCAGCGGCATCCTCCGTCATGGCACAAAAGGCTGGTGTTCAGAGTTATCCAAAGGATTTGCCAGCAACGGTTACTAATCAGGCAGAAAAATATCAAAAAGAGATGTGTAATGTATGTGAAAAGCCCAGCCAGCTCCAAGCCACTGGTGTACTCTTGACAATTATGCCTAATTGTTAAAATGCAAGGCACATAGCCAGGGAGAGAGAAGCCTGTAAAATATTTACTATAACGTTGCTTCAGCTAGAGCTCTGACTTCTGATAATTGGAGCATTTCTGCCAACAGACCCTTAGAGCTGCTAGGAGGTTAAGAAAGAGGGAGGTGGGGAATGAAAGTTATCTTAGAAGGGAAAGGCAACATGAAGAAGTATCTGCTGCAAAAATAAAATCCTGGAGAACTGCAAAATTTTATCATGTGCTGCCTCAGTGTTACTCGTAAAACAGAGCTTGATTCATAGGTCATAAGCTTCTCATGGGCACTGTAGTCATGTGGCATTGGTTAGAATAATGGAACTATAGAATTGGAAGAAACCACAAGGGCCATCCAGTCCTACCTCTTGTCATGGTTTATATGTGTGTGTGTGTGTCTTCAAAATTCAGCAGTCTAAATACAAGTATTTTACCCCAATCCCACCACCACCACATCCCCCACCCCGTAAGCCTCTACCCGTGACTTCTCATTACATAATACAAAGATAAAGGAATACTATTGAATATTTGCACCTCAGCATATTTGAGTGTTTAATCATTTTCCCCTGGTTACAATTTTATACACAACCATCTGTCCAAGGTTCTCAAAAAGTCATGTTTTGTATGAAGTAATTTATCTGATTTTACTCATTTTATAATAATACCACAAAAATATGGGTTAAAACCTGTGACTGATTAAACCACAGAGATGGCTGCTTCCAGTAACAACTCCATAATGTAATTTTGAAGCATGAAATTTATCCATATTATATGATGTGAATCAGGTAACAGGATAAAAGGATCTTTGTTTGGAAAATAAGAACCCTTGTTATATAGTACAAATTATTATTATTATTATTATTATTATTATTATTATTATTATTATTGAGCTTTGTGGTTCTAATACTGTCAAAACCTGCTGAAGTCCATCATGGGTCAAAGGTAGTTATTTATCAAAAATGTTATTATCTTATTTTTGCTGTAAGATAAGTTACAAACTGATAATGAGTAGGTATGCACTAGAGAATGAATGCACCTTGATGTCACTTTAATTGCCTTTCTCAGTGCTATGGAATAATGGAGGGCATAGCTTTATGGATCTTTAGTTTTGTCTACCAAAGAGTGCTGGTGTCTCATCAGACTGCAAATCCCATTATTCCATAGCATTGAGCCATTGCAGTTAAAGTGGTGCCAAATTGCAGTAATCATACAGTGTAAATACACCCTAAGATTGAAATTAGGTGGAGCAGAGGAGCCCTCATCTCAGAAGTTCTTGGTCTACACACGCTCATTAAAAGAAAATATAATGGACACAATTGTGACTATGTTTTCTCTAAGCATCAGATGTTGAAATGCA